ACTAATTACAACTAATCTAGGATCCCTTTAAAATGTTTATAAGTTGGCATAAGTTGTCTAATGTGACAGGGCCTTTACAAAAGCAAACTGTAATTATACCTTGCCATTGACAAAGAACAAATCCAACAAGTCTGCTGCTGATTTTACAGTAAAATACCAGAAAAAATATTTTGAAATGCATAAAAGCATGTCAGTGAAGATGATGAACCAGAATCATTAAAGTAAAAGGGCTGCACAAGTCATCACAAAAACTAATTTTGCATTTGGACTCCACACACTTTGCATTTTGCCAGTCTCTTGTCATGGCGTTGAATTAAGTCTCTGTAAGCAAAGCTTATAATGAATGGCAGCAGAGCTGCGTACTGCAACACACCTGCCATGCTGAAGCTCTGTCAGTCATGTAGGGTACACAGACGGTGCTGGCCCCTCCCATTCTCAAGCGAGGGGGAGCGAAGCATGGATGTGTATCGAGGGAGTGAGCATCGTGAGCCAGGCAGTGAAAAAGCTTTGCGCTGTTTGCGAGTCTCAAACCAGGAGTCCAAGTCAAGTCCCAAGTCTCTTAATAGTAGGGACTTACCTTAAGTGCAACTCAAGTCTAAGTCCGAGTCACAAGTCCCCATCTCTGCTTCAGACAGAAAGGTCCACAAACAACAACAACTGAAAACCTCTGCAGTAAAGTCCTGGCAGAGCATTAAACAGGAGGAAACACGGCGTCTGATGATGTCATCGCCAACCAAGGGTGTAAATCGTCAGCTTTATCACGATACAATGACAACGTATGAACGACATTAATAATGTAACAAACTACGACATTACAACGCTGAACAGACCGCTATGTGATGAAGCTTTTCTGAGCGTGTTCAATTCCGACACTGAGGAGGACTTCGATGGTTTCAGTGCGCCGGAGGAAGATGAATGAGACGTTTCGCTGTTTTGTTGGATCAGAAACTGTTAAAGAAAACTACCAAAATAAGGTCAGTTAAATGAACCATATTCCTCTGAACTTTAATTCCTAAAGGTTTGCTTTTTATGTTTTGATGTTGAATTCACTTTTTTGATGACAATTTTGGATGTACTTTTTTTTTTTAAGTTGGGGTGCGGCTTATACAGCGGGTAAAATAAGTATTGAACATGTCAACATTTTTCTCAGTAAATATATTACTAGAGGTGCCAATGGCATGACATTTTCACCAGATGTTGGTAACAACCCAAGTGATCCATACATACAAAGAAATCAAACCATAAATATCCAGAAATGAAGTTATTTGTAATAATGTGGAATGGCACAGGGAAAAAGTATTGAACACGCTTACTGAAATTTATCTAATACTTTGTATAAAAGTCTATGTTGTCAATGACCGCTTCAAGACGCC